AAAAAAAACACTCTTTACTCTATAATACTGCAGCATTCATAAATAATGCATCAACAACAATGAAGGTAGAAAAATACGACCATTACATTATAGTATGGAAGGTAGAAAACGAAAAACCAATAACTATTCAGTAGAAATAAAAAAAAAAACATGGTGAGAACGTATTCCCAAAGGCGAAGACATTTTTACCACAAAGTCGCCTAATGAATACGGAGCCAGTATAGATTATTGGTGCTACCGCAATACGATTACAAAGAAAGCACAATCAGTTGATGATGACAACTAGACGATAAAGAAAACCATCTGACAGAAGCAATCCCATTCCCATACACCAGTGCTCGTACGAAATATCCAATTCCAAATCCTAAAATACTCACTACTACCCTCCATTACAACGTTACTTAGATGTAAACAGCAGGAAATTTTGAGAAATAACAATGGTGGCAACAATACTAACGGGAACTAATAACATAATCGCAGCCCCTTGACATGAACGAATCTTCTGAACCTAATCAATTGGGATGCGAAACTCCTACATCCTATATTTCTATAACTCCCATATATTCAATATTCAAAAAAATTCCTAGCTAACTTGACCATCCTAACTTAAGCTTACCTAAAAGAACGGAGATAACGGCAATCGTGTAGTAAAGAATGTGATAATAAGGAGATGATTTGCTAACTTTGATGTTTCCCTGCATTCATTTCAATCTCCAGAGGCCACTTACTTGCCAATTCATCGATGGAGGAGGCTTCTTTACAAATTTCATATCCATTATCCACTCTTGAAAACCTCATGAGAAGAGTACGTGCTATTGAAGTAGAAGGTAGGAAAAGAAGCGGGTGTACCGTCATACTTCAGCAAACCAGAGGCATTTCGAATTATTCTGTTCTGTTACTATTCCAAACTTTCACACCCTACGAACAACTTTTCTATCCCGAAATCGGACTTAAAACCAGATTCAATAGAATCCAGACTTGAAAAACTTCACATTTTACATAGGCTAATACGTAATCCTGATGACACTTGGGTTATAAATGGTATGCAAATTGTATGCAGAACCGGTCATCTCCGAGCACTTGTTCTTTTGGCATTGAGTGATGTATCAGAAACCAATTACATGGGTCCAAGGAAAGCTGATGCCTTACAGTCCGGGAGGATTGTTCAGAGCTCACTTTTTACCGCGAACGACGATATATTGGATCAATAGCTTTTCAATTTTAGAGTAAGTGATTTGATTTGACGAATACTACACTCCCTTGATAACACTGGGGCCCATTGTCACAGCTAATACAGAATTTCATCAGATCACTAGTAACGCACCAAGGGCCATTTGAAATGGTGGATGGACATGGAAGATACCAGAGATGATATGAGGATACCGGATAAAGTTTTGTATATAATCAGAAAAGTAAAAATTGAACACAGTGAACATCCAGGCATACTTTAAAGAATATCACATAAGGAACAATGTTCCTACATGTTTGTACAACTCGTTCTAGCGATCCAGATTATGCACTGGCACTCGAGGCCTTCCATTTGTACTTGGCAGCCACCGCAGCACCAAACACAGGCTTCGGCATCGGTGGATGATAGAAGTAGCAATTTGCGTTCATGCAAGAGGAACCATAATGACACGCCTGTAATGAAACGTGCATAAGAGCTTGAATCAGAAGTTCCCACAGCATTACTATATCGCATTGATTTTCTTTGTGTGGTCATGAGCTTAGCAGCAGAACACAGATTCTATAAAGGAGCCCGTCAACCCTACATAGGAACGAGGAGCATATAACCCGACAAGTTATAAAAAATCAATAATAGCCTCAGAAAAATGACGTTTACTCACGTTCACTGATTAAAAAAAAACGCTTGCATACCTTTGGATGTTTGAAAGCGCAATTCGGTTTTTTGCATTTATTGCCGAATAAACAAGGCGTGAGTGATGCAAGGCTTGGAACAGAAGCTGGATCAGCAGAAAGTGGCACGCTTAAATCAATCAATAAAATATCAAACTGAAAACACTGAAAAATAAAGTTAAATTTCAAAAACATACTCAGGCGAGATTTTTGTTGACTCGGCTGCTGCGACCGGCACTGGTGGCGCCACCGGTTGAGGTATCTTGAACAGGATATTTTTGAACTACGGCAGTCAGATTATAAATATACAAATATCGTACCTGAGGTGTAGTAATGGCTGGTGCCGACATCGCAACAGCTGATATTTTTCCATGAGTATAGGGGCAGCTCGGATTCACACACTTGCGATCATACCGACATGGTGGATGAATATAAAGACAACGAGAACCAAACGAACAATGAGGGAAGTTTCTAAAGAATACAAACTCAGAACCATTCAAACGAAGAAAAGAGCAGAGAATGTTTCCTTCTACCTTCCAGGAACAACATTGAACTAATTGAAAATAACTCACTATCACACAGGAAACGATAGAAATAAAAAATAAAAGTAAAAAATGAATGACAACGAGGACAAGCCGCTTACATGCACTGTTTGGTAGGATGAGTATAGGAGCAATTTTCTCCTTGTCTGCATGCTGGCCAAAATCGGCAGCGTTCTGGAATTTTTGTGACCGTTGGGAAATTTCCGGTGTCCTCCTGAAATTTACTCATTTACTGATCATTGACGGATGATAATATTCAACGGTGTGGTGCTTCCCCACTCTAGTATTACGTGGAGTCATCGAGAAAGGTAGGGGGAATATCGGCGGAAACGGAGGAAGCAAGTAAGAGCGATAAGGAAATGCTTGTAAATCGCAATTAGTGGATAACTAATAGCGCATACCTTTCAACAACATTGATTTGCATTAGAGGGGTTCTGCACACAGATTCAATCCCATTAAATGCCGTAGAGAAGACAAGAGCATACTTTAGGGGACCTTCATATGAGCGATCGAATTATAGTCAGTCAAAAAGAGATGCAACCAATCAAAACGACCAATTTTATATGTACTGGAATAACTGAGAACGGACGCTGAGTTACGTGGATCCCTATCCACCAACCCGAGTTATCATTAACCTTCTTGCGAGAAATCTCTTTCAAATCACCAAGAAATCCCAGCAAGGTTATTTGAAATCCCATCGCGTCGTTATACTTTCCATTACATCCATTTACACCATTACATCCAAAAAATTTGCACAAACAAGGAAAGAATAGGCAACCAAACCAAACAATTCTGATTGCTAGCAAAGAAAGCATACTAAGGCGATGAAAAGCAAAAGCAGTCTCGAAACCCACTTTTGACAGCGGAGTAGGAACATAGTTCGGAGCATCTTTACTTTGCTGTTGCGTCGGCGAACCTGTATACCCGGACCAGCTGTTTCCCCGACTTAGCTGGTGTGTAGGTGGGACTTCTCCATCTTCATCCATAGAGGTCGAAACACCGCGAGCATCAGCCAATACAGCATCGATCTTTGCCTCTGGAGCGGATCAAATAACATGGCATCTACATAAAAAAAAGGCAGGCTCACCGTCATCATCGGTCGTGTCTTCCTCGTCCAACTGAATCTGGCCGTCCCACTTTCGGATGGACGGTGATTCAAGGCCATCCTAAAGCATATGATATTGATTCATATTTATTTACACATCCTAGACGTTTATCAAGCTTTCGATACCTAACGTGTGGACCGAATGTACGGGTACTAACATTATATTTGTCCCTTATGTAAATTTGACTCAATAGGAATAGCTATACGGCGTCGATATCGAAGCCGAACATGGGAAAATAAAAAAGAAGAGTAATTTTCTTACCGACACGTCATTATCGATTTCCACGGTTCGACCACGTTTTTCTGGCACAACCACGACACCTCCATTTTTGGCATCTACAAAGTATTCACACTAATCCAAAACATTTGGGAATTCGACACAGTAACAGGGAGAATTGAGAAAGCTGTTGGTCATGGAATAGAGCGAAAATGATGGCGCGAGGATATTATAGGTCGGCTGTACGATGATAGAAAACGAGAAATGGTACTACCTGCGCTCTCCTTCTCTTTATGACGTTTCAGGTTGGCTTTCTTGACTGTTCCCTTCGCACCGATATGTTCTTTAGCGCCTTTCAATGTCACCGTAATTTTGGGGCTAGCCGAGCGAGCACGAGATGCATCGCTTACAATCACTTCTGATTCACATGCATTTTCCCTGGAAATCCGAACTTCAGAATAAAATACATCAAAAAAGTACAAGATCAATGGGCAGGCGAGCTTAGAATCGGGGTAATACGCTATTGCTCGGAGGCTGATTCTTCCCTTAATAGTAATGGGATTTGGTACTGCCCTGTCTCTTCTTCTACTATCTTCTATCATTACTCGTTAATCATGCGGACCTAGTAAGTAAATAACCAAAACTAAATAGGACAAATCTTGTATGTATTTCTTGGTTGATTGAAAAAATTCAAAACCGTGTTCTGCCTGCTTCCACGAGTTACTCACTACCTCCCGGGCAGACGCTGCTCTTTGCGAATCAAAAACTATGAAAAAATATGCAGTAAACTAACTCATCGCTATCCACCTCCACAACATTTGCTCGACTACTCTGATTCTTGAGAGGAGATTTCGTCACGCGACTGTGAACCGATGCTTTCTTAAATTTGATCTTTTAGTTAGTAAACCATCAAGCTATTATAATAGTGAGTAACCCGAAGATAAGGCTAGGCAACGCTCACCTTCTTCTCCAAAAGAGATGAGCCATAACCGGCGCTGACGCTAGCTTGATTCATTGCTTTCAGGAACATAGATGATCCTGCCTTCATTGTTTTCTTCTCGATTTCACTAAAATTTCAAATTAAAAACTTCAGTTGCTTCACATCGTAATCCCTGAAACGACAAAGAAAGTAGAGGCTTTTTGGCCCAAGGATATCAACTACTCGTTGAAGTCAAACTCGTTACCAAAGTTTGCTTCACCGAACTATAAAAAATAGGGCGATTATTTTGAAGGTCAAGACCAAAAAGGAAACACTGACTAAGGAGACAAAATCGTTTGCGAAGGACTCTTCAGTCACAGCTCAGGATTAACTGTCTGCCTTGAAGGTGAACATTATGAAAGCTTAGCGCACCAAAGCTGCACAAACGAAAGTGACAGCGGAGCCGACTTCAGTTCAAGCTCAGTGCCTCTACACAATCATAATAATGCAATCTTTTAAGATATTTTTTCAGTAGCCAAAAAAACTGAATTCACATTCAATTAGGATTTAGTTAGGCCCAATCCATCGCAAATATGGAAACATTCTGCCTGAAATAAACTGATAAAAATAGAAGTAAACTGGCTGAACATAAGCCCATAGAAATTGAACAGGTTGCAGCAACACGTTTTCCTTAGACCTTTTTGACTTCAAGAACATGCAACACGATGGCGCAAGATTTTGAATTATTTCCTATTACACTGCGCCATATTCCTGGAAACTAACAGTTTTTCGATATTTTATCGTAAAGAATATTTTGGGAACTGTTTTTCATTCCATATTCTATTTCATAACCTAAATTCTGTTAACAAAACATAAGAGATGCTTAAAATTGATGCTTCTTGACCGACTTTCACATAACGATTATGAACAGATGAAAAAGATGCTTCAAAAAATTTCGGAACTCACCTAGTAGCAGTTTTGACCTTCCGCATGACACGAACTTGCGAGGAAACCTTGACTGGTTCAGGGCTGGCAGCAAGTGCGCGTTGAGCAACTACAGAAGAAGCCACCTAAACTAGTTGTTTTCGACTTGGCCCTACTTTGAGCAAAAAAGGAACCATAGTGTGCCAGTAGAAAAGAAGATATCCAATTGAGCACCTAACAGTCGCATTTACCTTTTTGTTTCGTGCTTCAACCTCTTGCTCGAAATCGTCATCCGACCAAGTTCTTGAACGTGAGCGAGAGCGTGATCTGCGATCTTTCGTTCTCCTTGTTGGCCGTACCGTATCGCGTGATCGGGTAACTTCTGACCGAGACTTTGATCTAAAAAATTGAAAAACTGTTGAGTTTCAGCCTTTGTTCATAGAAGATATGGGAAAGAAAATTTGAAAAAGCATACTTCTCCTGTTCACGGATTTTCTCCTGCCGCTCCTGCCGCTCGGCTTCTTTAGCCCGCTGTTCCGCTTCCTTAGCCCGTTCTTCGCGTTCTTTTTCTTTGGCTTTCTCCATTTGACGGACCCTTTCTTTCTCTTTCTCTTTCTCTTTCTCCTTCTCCCGCTCCCGTTCCTTTTCCCGTTCTCGCTCCTTTTCTCGTTCCTTCTCCTTCTCAGTTTCGCGTTTCTTTGACTCAGATTCAACATGTCGATGTGAAGATGACTCGTGAGATTTTGCTTCTGCAAAAATCAAAGCGTATATATTGAGAAGCTGGAAAGTCGATGCTTAGACAGACCGATTTGGGGAGGAGAACATATAAAACCAATAAACAAAACGCTTCAGAAACATTTTATTTTCATGGTCCCTCTGATCACAAGCATGAGGAAAACAGTAAACAAAAAAAATCATTAGAATCAAGTACAAGGTTTCTCTCAGGTATTACTCCTAAAAAGAAATAGCTTTCCAATAGTAATCCCTTGGAACTTTTTTTTTAATATTTCACAATTTAACCCATTGACGACCATGACGTTTTGCGGGAATAGCGCGGCGAGGGACCGGCGCGCTTTTCGTCCACTCGCGACTGCAGCCCACGTGTGGACTTCATGGTCCAGAATAACCATTTTTTGAAGTTT